ACGAAATCGCATGAATAGTTTCGAAGACGAAGAACGACCAAGAAAGATATTCGAGCTTGTTTAAAGGAGCATCGTCATCGTCATCGTCATAGTCATCGTCCTTCGAAGAGCGATTAGCACCGGCGACGTTGTTATAAAAACAGAATTAAACGATAACAAAAGCAAGAGAGAAAAAGAGAGAGAGAGACAGAGAGAGAAGAGAGAAAGGATAGAGAGAGGATAGAGAATAGAATTTCCCTTGAAGGAAGAAGAGAGGGTCTGGCAATCCATCCCTTCATTATTCGGGAATTAGTAACCCCATTTCGGCGGGCCTCTTTGTTCTCGCATCACCCGTCCCTTTCTCACCACATTCTGACCCCTTTATCTCGTCGCTCGTGTCTATCTCTTTCGTGATGCATTGTGCGAGAGAACGATAAAAAGGGCTACGATAATAAACTCACCTTGTTTTGATTTTCGAAACATTTCAAACTCTTCTCTTCCGGTTAATTTCCAGAAGGACAATAGAATTAACTCAATAATCGACGATATAATTCATTTTAATTCGAGTTAATAGAATCGCTATTAAAGTCGATCGATTTTAAATATTCAATGTGTCTCCTTCGATGAAAACATTTCACGGTCAATTCAGAATTTTATTAATCGATCAAAGGCCGGTCGAATAGACAGATCGATCTTCTTACATTGGTCAGACCCCTAGGGATTATTTATTTAAATTTAACCAACTCTATTAGGGTGGCTTCGTAGTTTAGTTCAATATATATATATATATATATATATATATATATATATATATATATAAAGAGAGAGAGAGAGAGAGAGAGAGAGAGAGAGAGAGAGAGAGAGAAAGGTAGAGAGATAGAGAGAGAGAGAGAGAGTGAAAGAGAGTGAGAGAAGGAGTTATGTGAAGGATGGAGAAGGAGGTAGAAAAGAGGTATATATATACCTATGGCACAGTACGGAGCGAGAGAGAGATAGATAGAGAGAAAGAGAGAGAGAGAGAGAGAGAGAGAGTGAGTGAGAGAGTGAGAGAGAGAGAGAGGAGGCCGACACCTCGGCGCCAAACTCACCCTCCTGAGACTCTGCAGACTCACCTCCATCCCCTACCGTGCACAGCAACCACCCCGCGCGCATAGCATCCCAATGGCAATCCCCGTTTCGCAAACCCGCACTCCATCCTGCTCCAACTCCAACTTCTCTCCACCTCCACCTACTACCATCATCCTCGCCTCTCTACCTCCCACCTCATCCTCCTCTTCTTCCCTCTACCTTCCTCATCCTGCAACCCTCCTACGCTACTAGTCTCGACCATCCAACCACCCACCTACCAACTCCTACGTAGCGAGCGACCCTCGAGCTATCTCCAAAATCATCCCTTACATTCTAGAGCCGGCGTGCTATCCTCCATAGAGCTCCAAGTTGGACGTCGACGAGGGTGAGTGGAATGAAGGAAGTAGAGGAGGAATAGGAGGAGGAGGAGTAAAGGGGGAGGGTGCCGGGTTTGTGCGGCAAAGTAGGAGAACGAAACGAGGGTAGACAAGGTGGGGAAACGGCGTAGTGGAAGAGAGTAGACTGAAGAAACGTACAGTGTGTTAGACAGAGTAAGAGAAAGGGAGGGAGAGAGAGAGAAAGAGAAGACTAGGATAGCTAGGTATACTGGATACAACGAGAAAATAAGAGATCCTCCCACACGACCGACGATACGAATTACAATGGGTCGGCACAGGGGTACGGACGAGCTTCTACGTCGGCTTTCTTGTCTGCTCGCATGCTCGACCGGACTAGGCGGGGGTGGCAATAACCGAAACGTTGAAGTTGAAGGAAAGAGAGATCCTTCGGGAGATAAGTCCGAGGTTTGTAGGGTAAGATCGTTGTTTGTCAGAATATTCGCTACTTTCTATATGTACGCTTACATATGTATATATATATATGTATATACATATATATATATATATATATATATATATCTTTTGATTTATACATAACCCAATAAACTGACAAACACGCGATTTGCAAGTCATTATCGAGTCAAGTTCTTACAAAGGTTTTGAGGAAAATACGAAAATAAGCTTTTTGAAAATTTGTTCGTTTAGCACACCGAGCATATTTATCCAGAGCACGATAGATTTTCTTTGCTGACGCGAGAAAATAGGTGCTATTGTTCGTTCCTATTCGTTTCCTCTACGAAAAGCTAATACCAGTCGCCCGTACTTTTTTCCCTTGTTCGAGAACACCGTGATAGGATGTCGTACTCTTCACCAACCCGTTACCCTCTCCCAAAGAACAATGCACGTCACATACGTCGCGCGAAAGCCTCGGACCGGTCACTAATCGTGGAAGGAGAGACTCTAAATCGTCTCTCGAATCGACGAGGTAATATCATTCCATCATTGATTTGACGATTAGACTATGATCAAACGCACTACAAGAAATCGTAGATTTTTTCGAAAAATATTTGCGAAGAAGAAATTTAACTACGGGGGAATAAAATTTTGTTGGAAGGAAAAAAGAGAATACTTGCTTGAATTAAGTTAATATTTTTCTTTCTTCTTTATGGAAATATGTAAACGTAATTATTCCGTATAAATAGATAAAAAAAAATTCTCTCTTCCTCCCTCTCTCTCTCCCTCTCTCTCTCTCTCTCTCTCTCTCTCTCTCTCTCTATCTTTTCTCTAGTTTAAAACGAAGTGACACATATATAAATAATTTAAAATGCTATTAAAAATAGTTACATTTATAGCGTCGATAATGACCGATCGATAAAAATTTCTTCAATGTACTCACATACAAACAGCAGTGACGAAGCTAACCGGCCCATTCATTGAAATCTCCAGAAAGAGGACCAAACAATTCTTAATTCCTTGCAAAGAAATAAATCGTACATAAGGTATATTTTAATCTGAGATTTCGTATTTTATTGCCGAAGGTCAACATAAGTACTTGGATTCTAAAATCTCGAGATGAATGGGAAAGAAAGATAAAAATCAAAAAAAGAAAGAAGAAGAATAAGAAGAACATCGATCGAACCTGATGGAATCCATAACAGAATTCCAAAGTAATGAACAAAGCACGAAGCCGTGTTCTCATTGGTTTCCAAGGTAGGAAGATCGTCGAGAAAGAGGATATAAAGCAAGGTTGTGTGGCTGGTCGGTCCTGTGCTGGGTAAAGCCACGAAATATCCGAAGAA